ATAAAAGGTTAAACTTTCAGATTACTACTAAACTACAAGAACCCAAAAAGTTTAAAGGTTGGGTATTGAGGAACTAAGAGATCTGATGGGCTTGAAGTATCGGGCTTAGGGCTTAGGGGATTAGGGTTTAGGGTTTAGGGTTTAGGGTTTAGGGTTTAGGGTCTAGGGTCTAGGGTTTAGGGTTTAGGGTTTAGGGTTTAGTGTTTGAAGTATCGGGCTTAGGGTTTAGGGGATTAGGGTTTAGGGTCTCGGGACTCTTTGGGGTTCAGGGTTTGGGGCTGTATCTATAGGTCTATAATGTAGGTGCCTTAATAATACGAATAGGGTTTTGGGGCCCAGTTTGCAATTAGTTATAATAGGGAGCCCCCCCAAAAATAGTATTGGTAATTATTTAAGCCCCTATATTCGGTCTATATTTAGTTTACACGTGCATTCAGGGTGGGGGAGTTGCGAGGGTTAAACCCTAAACCCCCAACCGCTTGGACCCTCCAACCCTCAAACCCTCAACTTGGAGAGCCCTGATCACCCATCACCGCGTAGTTGAACCTGAATCCTTAAGGACCAAATGAGCCTGAAGAGTAGGGACCCTATCCCCGATACCATGAACCCCTCATATGGTGTATGAACCTTAAACCCTTTTGGGGTTCATGTCGTCCTCATGAAGGATTCCGGCAGTCCCAAGCCGCCGCGTAAGTCACTACTATCGCGGCGTCAAGATCAGGAACAGAGGCTTGGAGATGTGAATATGTAAACCTATTAGGGAGCCCGGTAATGTCCGAAAAATATCCTAAACTCTAAACGCCCTAAACCTTAAGACCCCTAAACCCTAAAAGCCCTACAAACCCTAAGCCGTAAAAGCCCTAAACACCCTAAACCCTAAAACCCTACACCCTACAAGCCCTAAACCGTAGAAACCCTTAAAGACCCCTAAAAACCCTCAACACACCAAACCCTAAACCGTAAACACCCTAAACACCCTAAAATCCCCAAACCTTAAAACCCTAAAAACCCTAAACCCTACAAACCCTAAACCGCAAAAAGCCCCTAAAATCCCTTTAAAACCCTACAAACCCTAAACCGCAAAAAGCCCCTAAAAACCCTAAACCCTACAAACCCTAAACCGTAAAAAGCCCTACAAAGCCCTAAACCCTAAAATCCCTAAACCCTCAAAACCCTAAAATCCGTAAACCTTACAACCCTAAACACCCCTAAATGCAAATCCCTAAACCTTAAAACCGAAAAAAGCCCTAAAAAACACCCTAAAACCCCTAAACCCTAAACCCTAAACCCTAAACCCTAAACCCTGAACCCTATAAACCCTGAGCCGAAGAGCAGAATATCGATCGACTCCCGCTCCCGGGACCGCCACTCGGTGCCGAGGTCTCCGTCCGTCACCTCGCGCTATTGGCGGTTGGGTTTAGGGTTTAGGGTTTAGGGGCTTTGGGGTTTTGGGTTTTAGGGTTTTGGGGTTTAGGGTTTTAGGGTTTAGGGTTTTGGGGTTTTGGGTTTTAGGGTTTAGGGTTTAGGGCTTTTAGTTTTGGGGTTTAGGGTTTAGGTTTTTGGTTTTGGGGTGTAGGGTTTAGGTTTAGGGTTTAGGGTTTAGGTTTTTGGTTTTGGGGTTTAGGATTTAGGGTTTTTAGTTTTGGGGTTTAGGGTTTAGGTGTTTAGTTTTGGGATTTAGGGTTTAGGGTTTAGGGTTTAGGCTTTTAGTTTCGGGGTGTAGGGTTTAGGGTTTAGGGTTTAGGTGTTTAGTTTTGGGGTGTAGGGTTTAGGATATACTATACCCCTATGGAAACTAGGGCTTGGGGTTTAGAGTTTAGGGTTTGATATACTATAACCCTTGTGGAAGCCAGGGTTTTGGGTTTAGGGTACTATAACCCTTATGGAAACTCTCCTAGAGCCTCTTACGGAAGCCTAGAACCTTCAGCCGATCAATGTACCTAGTAATCATATACTCTCGCAAATATTTGCCTAGATACCTACTATCCGCAACCAAAGTACCTTATTATTGAGTCCCTTGGACCCTTAGAAGCCTTATAGAACCGCCCTTTGGACCCTTAGGGTCAGGGCCTGAAGTCTCGAGGAGCCTTCGAGGATGCCAATTTTTGCAGCTTCGAGCTTTCCGGCTTCAGGTTGAAGCTTACGGATTTAAGGGTTTAGGGCTTCAGGGTAAAGCCTAAACCCTAAACCCTAAACCCTGTTTCGGCTTAGGGTTTGGGGTTTAGGGTCTCAGGGTCTAGGGTTCAGGGCTTAAGGCTTCGGGTTCAGGGGTTGGGATTCTGTTGAGGGTTTAGGGTTTTGGGTTTCGGTTCCGGGTTTTGGGGTAACCCTAAGGGTAGTTCTCTAAACTAGGGTCCCTTTTAGGGTCCATTTTATAAGGGTGCCGCACTAGATTGGGAACCTCATTACCCATAATTCTGAGGGTCCATGTACCCAAATAGTATATACATTGGCCCCAACAGTACTTATATAGGGACTACATGGACCCTTAGGGTAAGATTTCTACGAAAAGTTGGGGATCTGGGACTTTGGGGGGTTTGAAAGCTCATTCCGGGGTTCGTATCAGGGTTTAGTGTTGTGGGCTTAGGTTTTTGGGGTCTTTAGGGTCTTTGGGGTCTTTTGGGTCTTTTGGGTCTTAAGGGCTTGGGGTTGCTGTTGGGGCTATATGAGGGTTTTGGGGTTTTGGGGTCTAGGTTGAGGGTTCTCAGTTCTGCTTGGCTTTTAGGGTGAAGTTTTGAATATGTTGGTGGACTTTCAGGGGTTGGTTTGGGGTTTCCAAGTGGCAGCATTGCAGTTCCTACGCGTTCCATAGCTTGGGGGGCCAGAGCTTGCTGCTAGCGCCTCGGGGGAGCATGACTTTGCGCTCACCATTATTGCTAAGGAGTGCTTCATACATATATATATATATATGTATGTATATATATATATATATACACATACATATACACCTACATATATACACATACACACGCACAAAACCCTTACAGCCCACACGACCCTAAAATAGTCGCTTCGTCCTATTGGGTTCAAGACTTTCTTGGTTGAGAATTTCAGCAAAAAACGTAGGATAATGCTAAACCCTAGACCCTACACACCTAAACTCCGATTACTCTAATTTGCTTCTTCAGCCACGCATAGCCCCGCCCGATCCCAAAAGCTTCCTCCTGGACCTATTCGGGAACCATCGACCATTACTGTTGATGATACAAATCCTGCATTACGTCAAGGACGCTAACCTGTGGGAATTATGGTATACTCCTTGGTATGAGTAATGCAGAATTTTTAGCATCAACCGCAATTCCGTAATTCCGAAAATGCTCCCGTCCAACCGTGCTACTGCCCGCTGATGCTGTATTTGATTTGCTTCGGACAGCGACGATTTCCGCGACGCTGGGTGGTCGAAGGCTTTAACCAAACGTGGGTCGGATGGAGTAGGCTAGGCTCAAGACTGCGAGAACCTGGGCTTTGCGGGATTTTCATTTGTCGCAGGAAGACAGGCGCTACAGGCCCCCAGACCGACGATGGTCTCTGACCGCACATCCCGTTGTCAGTCGGTATTCAATCCAAAGCAGACCATCTGACCATCTGATTTGACTGCGCACGTGTGAGCGTAGCCTGCTGAGATTGCCACAACTGCTCCCAAATCCGTTGGCACATCGCACTGCCCGTCGGCATTCATTCCAAAGCAAACCAACTGACCATTTGTTTTGACTGCACACGTGTGCAGGTAACCTGCTGAGACTGCCACAACTTCTCCCAAATCTGTCGGCACCTCGCATTGTCCGTATATGTTCCAGCCAAAGCAGACCAACTGACCATCTGCTCTTACTGCGCAAGTGTGCCTACCGCCTGCTGAGATTGCCTTAACTGCTCCTAAATCCGTCGGGGCATCGCATTGTCCCTTTGAGTTCCACCCAAAGCAGACCAGCTGACCATCTGAACTCAGTGCACATGTATGATCATAGCTAGCTGAAACTTCCACAACGGATCCCAGATCCGTCGGCACATCCCATTCTCCCAGCATGTTCGAGCCAAAGCAGACCAAATGGCCGTCGGATTTCGCTGCACCTAGGTTCCCCAGTAGCCCCTTAAGGATAAAGGTACCCTTTTTCCTACTGTTTGGTTTTAATACTTGGAGGGTCGGAGGACTTAGTAAGTAGGTAATAAGTAGAGCTATAAGTGCTCTAAATGGAATCCCAATTGGGGTTATGGTACTTATAACTCTGTAAAAGTACCTACTTACTAAGCCCCCCGACCCTCCAAGTAGGGAACCCAAAAGGAAAAAAGGGCAAAGGGGTACTACTGGGGAACCCTAAAACCCTAAACCCCACAACCCCAAACCTTAAACCCTTAATGCCTTAATTGAACCCTTAAACACTTAATTGAACCCTTAAACCCTCCATAGAACCCTTAAGCCCCTGGGGAACCCTAAACTCTAAACCCTAAACCCTAAACCCTAAACCCTAAACCCTAAACCAAAAGGGTACTACTTCCTAGGGGAGCCTAGGCACAGGTCCGACCATGGCCAGCTGACACTGCCGCAACGGCTCCCAAGCCGGTCGGCACGTCGCACTGTCTGTTGCTGTTGTCCTTGGGTTTAGGGTTTAGGGTTTAGGGTTTAGGGTTTAGGGTTTAGGGTTTAGGGTTTAGGGTTTTAGGGGTTTAGGGTTTAGGGTTTAGGGTTTAGGGTTTAGGGTCTAGGGTTACCTTACTTAAGGGATCAGGGGACTTAGTAAGTGGGGCTATAAGTCCCTTAGTTATAAGTAAATAGAAGTACAGTTATCTTAATTATAAGCCTACTTACTAAGTCCCATGATCATTCAAGTCCTTAGGGGTGCGAGCCCAAAAGGTCCAAGTACTAATATCGTAGCTACTTTGTAGGTATTTGGACCCCCAAAGGATATACTGCACTATAACTTGGACCCTTGGGGTAGTACCCTAGCCTCAAAACGATGAGCCGCTTAACTTACGGTAGGACTATACAAAAGGTTAAACGTCACCTACTCAGCTACTAATGTCTCTCCGAAGCAGACCAGCTGACCATCGGATTTCACTGCACACGTGTGATCGTAGCCTGCTGAGACTGCCACAACCCTTCCCAAATCCGTCGGCACATCACACTGCCCGCTGTCGTCACGTATACTGCAGCCAAAACAAAGCAACTGACCATCTGACTTCACCTCACACGTGTGAACATTGCCTGCTGAGACTGCTGCAAATGCGCCCAACTCCCGTTGCCCATTGGCGCCCAATCCAGAGCCGACCAACCGATCTGATCTCATTGCCACCATGCACTTGTTGCTGAGGGAAGCCTCAGTTTTGTAGCCATCCACAATCATTCGCTTGCGGTAAGACACCAGCCTGACATGTCCCCGGGATTTACTTGGATCGACCAAGTACCGGGATCCGAAGCAAAATGACGTAAACCAGCACGCTCCCATCCAGGATATCCAGGAGAGTATGGGGAGTCCCAGAGCCACTCTGGAAGCACACATTGCCCTTGGCACGAAGAGATACGGCTCTGGTTTACAGTGCTTTGTCATGTAGAGCTGCTCGCATCACCCTGCAGGCCGTGTCGTGACGGATGCAAGTTGATCGAACGTTTCACAACTTTCTCCTAAACCAAGACGTAACAGTAATGCCAAGTCTGACACTAGGTAGTGCTCCAAATGCCTGTGGCTAGCAACATGTGGAACACGTCACACGCATGAAGATTAGAATCCTCTACCCTAAACCCGAAGCGCAACATCCTAAACCCCAACCTTCTAAATCCTCACGCATTCGAGTTCTCATGGGATGAGTCTTTCTATGCTGCCGTTGATCTCTCGCTGAGCCGAAATGCAGTTTGAACATGTTTGACGATTCGTCTGTGTAGGGCCTCGGTATGGTAGGGGTTTGGGGCTTCGATCTAGTTTTGAGTTCATGCGTAGGTTGGAAAGACTCCAACATCCCTCAAGTCATGGCTCACCATTGCCGGTTCCGAAGATAAAGTGAACCTGAAGACCTCCTCATATATAAGCGCCCTTTGAACCAAAATGGTAAAAGTCCTAAGAACCAAAATACGAAAAAAACATGTTGAAGCATCCTTTGAATTTCATTTTGCCAACAAATCTACGACAACACGATTGAAGTCCGTGGAGCTTGTTACAAAAACAAGTCCTAGGAGGACTGACGTCCTTGACTAAGGGAGTCTTAACTTTGCTACCTGAAAGTCCAAGTACCCCAAGTAATAAGGGGTGTCAGGCACCCAAAAATAAAAAACGTTCCAAATATGGAATGCGGGACCTACAACCCTGGTGTAGGGGAGGGTTGGGCCTCTGGCTTACCCAGAGGCCCCATAGTAGTTCCTTTTTGGGATTACCTTATAAGATTCTAAATATGAACCCCAAAAAGGAACTGCAGACTGTGGGGCCTATGTAGTTAGATCGAGAGCATGGCAGGATATCCATATCCTTTCGCCTCTGCTCCAGTCTTAAGGCAGAAAGCCCTTTAGAACCGCATGTGCCCCCGTCCACATCCAATATAGACCCCTTATAGAATCCCTGTGCCGAAATCCTTATGACGTCCATATAGACCTTTCTTGAAAACCCGAATGAACCGTAAACCGCCAAAACCACTAAAAGCCCTAGATCCCTGAATCCCTGAAGCCAAAACAAACTCCTTCCATGTCCCGAAAGAACCTCTCGTAGAGCCCAAACCCAAACCCTAAACCCCACACCCTAAACCCTATATAAAGCCCTTACAAATCCGAACCTTGCCGAAGTCGGCAGCGTAGGTGTCTGATGAGCCAAACGGCACCTGACTATGTTTTACATGATAATAAGGTACTTTGGTTGCGGATAGTAGTTTGGGGTCTACGGTTTAGGGTTCAGGGTTCAGGGTTTAGGGCTTAGGGTGTAGGGTCTAGGTTAACTAAGCTTAGGGTTCGGATTTCGGGTAGGGCTGGGGGTTGACGTGTTGAGGCGCAAGTCTTTAGGTTTAGTCCTACCGTCTATCCTTCGGGGTTTGGTCTTGAGGTTGCGCATCTTACGGCTCAGGGTTTGTATCTTCACGGTTTAGGGGTTCGGTGTTTACGGCCGAGGGCTTAGAGTTTAGGGCTTCAGGTTTAAAGCTTTTGGTTTGGGCTGTAAGGCATTTGGGCTTAGGTTTAGGATTTCCGTTGAGGGTTTCAGTTCCACACCGGACAATGGAAGCTTGGCGTCAAGAGCCACAATTACTTATGCAGATAATCTCGGAGCAGAACAGCCTTAAGCACTTAGATAAGGTTTCAGGGTGCATTCTAGCATGATTGTGAAATGACGAATTATTAACTATACATGAGTGGATGCTATTGCGGGGATAGCCAGACCGCCACCTATTGGCGGGAATCTAATCCTCAAGTCCTACATGGTACCCAGAGCTCTTTTTATCTACGTTGCCATGCTCATAGCCTTAAGGAGCAACAGACCCGAAGCCCTGAACCCCAAACCCTCATACTATGAATCCCCATAGGGTATATGAACTTGGATGCGTTTGGGGTTGATTTCCCAAACCAGCAAACCCACAAACCCAACACCCTAAAACCCTGTGATTTAGGAGAGGGCACACGGTGGAGCGCCAAGTTCTCGGCTGCAGCAGCAAGCGGCGGAAGAAAAAATGCTAGGCGCAGGCAGCACATCGCTTCTGACGACTTGTAGGGTTCAGAGCTTAGGGCTTACCTTAAGAACCCAAAACCCAGTTTTTTGTAGGATCTTATTATAAACCCTAATTGATATGGGTTTTATAGGGACCCTACTCAAACTAGGTTTTGGGTTCTTAAGGTAGAGTTTCAGGACTTTCGGTCGTCAGCGAAGGCGATCCGTTTAATGTGCGGCCGTGGACGGCTACAACACCAAGTTATTTGCTCAAGGTATGTGGGTAGTTGTCAGAATGATGGTCCTTTTTGGGGTACCCTAAATATAGGTGCCGGATTATAATAAGGAGCCAAAAAGGGACCCTAATTTTGACAACCACCCATGTGAAGGCTTTATTTAATCCTGAACGAGTCCCGGACATAGGACCAGGCTTGGCAGGACTGAAAGCATACTGTGTACTCCTCAACACAAACTCATGGGTTCAACGCAATCCGCTTCTCTCTTTTGGGGTTCAGTGCTAAGCGTTAAACTCTGCACCAGGAGCATTGCATACCCTCACATTCCTTAACATCTAATTGTTCACATCTCCGTGATGTGTTTACTGCTCTTCGGGCCAAACAGCAGACCACTTCCGTCGCTTTCGGGTTTAGGCGTAGGGTAGATTCGGTGTAGAACAAAATCACTTTCTGAAGTCTCCCTATGCGTCCTTCTGCTGCTACTATTCCTACCTACTACTACTACTACTA